TCCTCTCGAGATCTTGACTGGTAGAAGATAGGCGGTATGCTGCGGGCGTGGGCTCCGAAGCACGCGCAGAGAGCCGCATGCTGCCTGATGTCTTTGCGTCGCTGGTCTCGAGGCAGCACGTGGCCGTCTCGTGCTCACACTGTTAACCAGATCGGCGTTGTCGTCCGGGAGTCGCGGCACTACTGGGTTGACAAGCCCATGGTCTAAGGAGATGAAGCCTGGCAAGCGCTTTGCAGGATGACTGCGCCAGCTAGGTTGGTATGTTACTCACAGTGCTAGCATAGCCTTGCCTGCAACGGAGCAAGGCCTCCAACCTTTCCCCGTCCAGACAGGCAAGGCCTAAGAAGGGCGGACGAGCGGAAGTGATCACCTACGCCAAAGTTCACTTCGCCCAATCTATCCACTAGGTACATCGGTTTCTCCCAGGCGAAGTCCCTTCATAGCCGCCCAATTGAGCGTCGGGAACTACGTACGGCCACTGATCGGACGCTACAAGCGCACGGCCGAGAAGGCAGGAAACTTGCTATACCCAATCCACGATGGGTTCCCCTGCGTCTGGTGAGCGCGTCCTCTAACCGCCACAGCCATTCACTGTCGCCTTCAGTGGGCCTTCTGACTCCATAGGCCGACGCAATTGTTACTTTTGTCTCGGTTGAACTTCTTTTCTTGGCCCTTCCACAGAAGCATTCGCTGTTTAAACCCATCCGTGAAACCCTTCCATACATAGATACTCGTGAGCCTATTGGCAGCCGAGAAAAGGACCGACACGGCGCTTGCGCAGGGTCCACAAGTCGGATTTCCAAGGTGCCTCTGACTGGTTGTCTCCCGGCCAACGACACGAAATCCATCGCCCCAAGACCATCCGCCGATGGTTTTCAGTCGTCCATCATAACCTTCACCATTCGCCCCTATCGTCACTGTCTACGTTGAAGCGAGGCTTCAATGACGAGATCAGCGAGCCTTTGCGCTGCAATTGATGCCTGGCGGGTCACTGTCCAAACGCCCGACGAGCACGGCAAACACGGCGAACAGTCGCAGCCAAGCCGTCCGCGAAAACGACACCGCATCCATCCCAACACTGAGTCGAGGGCTCCATTGTCACCGCCATCGTCGCACTCTCCCTGTTTCGTTTCTTCTCTGATGGAATCCAGGCCTCTTACAGGAGTCAAACGAAAGCATGACAACAGTCGGCAGGACAATGGCGGCGACGAAGAGCCAAGCGCAAGCCTTCTTCCTAATATGCACGACATCCATTCCACGCCGCGAGCGTCCCAGCTCAACGACCAACGCATTGCTCGCACATCCACGCCTAGCCTCTCATCGGCGTCCAGCGTTTCATCACGGACGTCCTCACCTACGAAACAACTGAGAAGACTGGCTCTTCAGGCCGACGGCTTTGTCCATCGCAAGTTTGCGAAGAGCCGCGCTGAACTGCCCTCCTCGCTCGCCACACTCGTCAACGAGCTGCAGGGAATCTGTTGGGGGTTTCAGCTACTGCCGCGTGATATGCGCACCGAGGTACATACTTTGTGATCCATGACGAGATTGTCACCGCCTGCTCCATTCCCTTCTGCTATGGACGCCTGTCTTCTACCGATTGACCACAGACTGACAATTCGCTGCTCAAATGCCAGTTTGCTGACTTCGATATACCAGATCACGCTTATTTCCCCGAGGGCATTCCTGCACCAGCCGGCTTCCGGTGCCCACCCCGAGATCTCGTTGCATGGCTGCTAGACCAGGCCGAAGACTGCGAAATCAACCTTCACGGCGAACCTAGCTGGAACACGGAGCT